GGGGAGTGCGCGGTCGGCCTGCGGCCATGACTCAAATGGCGTGCACTTCTCGTCTCCATAACAGTTTGAGTAGCTCGAGTTGTTGACTTGGGAATGGGCAATTGGCGGTAGAAATTGCAACAGGACTCAAATGCAGCTTACTTCTCCCAATTCTCATCTTGTCAAACGCAGAAAGTCGTACCAGCACGCAGATACGGACTTGTTCGTGAAGTCTATTCATGCCTTCCTTGCTGAAGAGTATGACAAAAGAAACTGAATACTGGAGTTTTAAGAGATTTGGCCATCCTATAAATCAAATACTGTGCCTTCATAGGCAAAAACGAGTTCTTTGGTAAACCACCATCGAACGCTGCATGAATCAGTAAAATTTGTCTAGATGTTTGTCGTATGATTAATTTAAATATCCACAATCCGTGTTACTACATCTACTACTAGCAGCATGATCAATATCAATACAATCAACATATCAACTGATGGCTCAGTGGGCATTCATGATTGTCTGTCTTTCATCCTTGATTTTACTCTCCGTATAGGGCCATGCACTCTGAAATTGGAGGCAGTGTTCAGCACAGAAGGCTAACAAGTGGAAATGGGGTGAGCACTTTTGTCAGTCCAACTCATTTGTTAATTTTACGCCTCGTAGGGGAATCACTTCTTGAGTTCTCTGTTCTATCATAGTCAAATCCGGCGCCTCCTCGCATAGCATACCAATCACTTGGTAGCTCAAGTCGCACGTGGCTTACGCCCCTTCGATCTCCGGTCTTCTACATTTACGTTAGTGCGTTCCTCGCCTTGATCACGGTGGCTCTTTTCTTCGCCCTCCACGTGGACAGCCAATTTAGAAAGGAGGATTTAGAGTTCGAAAAGTGTCCAGCCTGTTTTGGACAGTCCTTCTGTCCGCAGTTTTTTCGTGGCGATGTTCGTCTACCTGCTTTCCACACTTCAGTCCTCGATCTCACCCAAGCATATGTGGGTAAGTGACGGTTATTTTACCTACTCATTCGAAATCAGTAGGTGTTTTATTAACCATAAAATGTTTGCGGCAAAACCTCTACACCCCTACCCGTTCACCCCCTGTTCTATCTGAAGGCACCGATCACAGAAAGTATCCTGTCACGCTGCGTCGGCTGTACACTCCAGCTAATTCGGAAACAGTAGATGCAGCTGTCTGCCGGCGGGGTCCACGCTTCACTTCATCTCCTGACAGTCCGCAAGCTGTGGAGGTATTAAAAAAGCTCAAATGTATCCCTCATCTCGCCATCTGGCAATGGCGACCAACCTCGGGCGCAATAACCAGCGAAGCCCTGCATGAAAGCCTGTCAACTGCTGAGACTGTGCCTTCCAAATCCACTGAAGAAAATCTACTAGGCACCGGGGACGAGATGTCGACCGGATTTTCGCCCCTGGTACGCTGTGCCAGTCCTAGGCTTTTCTCGCTAGTGCAGTCACGGTAAGTCCATGCGGCAGGTATTATGGTTAGGTTTCATTTTTTCGCACAGTCATTTTCGGCTCAACTAACGTCTCCAGGAGTTTGATTAGATATCATGATGCCTGACAATTCGAATGTCCCCTTTCGACAAGGTTCAGTGTATGACGGGGACATCTGTGTACATTAGATTATAGCGAGAATACACCTGCGCTGCATCTACCTCCCTCAAACCTCCTTACCTGGCGCTGTGGTATGACCAAGACAAGAAGATCAGGGGCAGGAGAAGGCAGAGGTCGCTGGCATCTCCGGGTGTCGTCCCTCCCGACGAGAATGAGAATGCCACATACGTCACAGTAAGAAGAAGAAGCCATTGCGGCCACTTTATACAAACACACACTGGGCTGGCTGCGCGGTCCGAGTTATTCCGTCAGTTGGTAACCTCCTAAGGCCAGTCTTTTAGCGCTGCGTAATAGCTTCAAGGAGATTCGATTGTTTTTGGGGAGGAAGATGTGCTGAGCTCTGTACCTCATTATCTATTCCAATTCTCAGGCCACAGCCAGTGTCCGGATCGGTCGGTTTTCTGATGTGTGGAGTAGGACAATACGTCTACCCACTGTTCTTGTCCTTCTTGTGATTCAAAACTAGTTTTTTTTTCGGTCGGAGTACCTCGTGGGGTCGCCTGGGGGGAGCGCTAAGCGCGACACTCGGTCTTACGGGCTCCTGATTTTAGGGGAGAGGGCGGGCGGGACATGTCAGGGAGCAAATTAGATAGAAGTAATCCTGTAAAATAAGAAAGGTTCGAGGGTAAGTTTGGTCGCGTACTCAAACCTTGGGCGGGGGCACTGAAGTACGCATTAATATCATCGCTAACCCTCTACCGGACCAACG